TTTCGCCTCTTCCACATCAGCAAAATGTTTCCCTTTGAGGAATTTTTTCAACCAAGGACACAAAAAAAAGTTGCTTGGGACAAGATCAGGTAAATAGGGCAGGCGGCATACAGGAGTTATGTCATTTTTTTGGTCAAAAACTTCTGAACATTCAGTTTGGTGGGTGCGCTAGTAAATCACCCATCATGAAATAGGCAAGCACATTGAAAGACTCTCCAAAAAGAAAATTCACTGAGGCCAAATGCAGTCTCTCACAACAACTCTAGCTGGTACACTGAAGCAGATGGGTTCCTGGAACACTGAACTAGCAGGAGAAGCCTGTACTACAAGGCACCTGCCTTCCAAAAAATAATTCAGGTTTTCTTTGGGTCCTTCCTCATACACTGCTGGTGGTATTGCTAATTAGTACAACCATTTTGGGAAAAGTATGAAAGTTCCTTAAAAAACTAAAAATAAAATTACCAAATGATCCAGCAATCCCACTACTGGGTAAATGCTCAAAGGAAATGAAATTAGGATGCCAAAGAAATGTCTGCACTCCCATGTTCATTGCAGCATTATTCACAATAGCCAACATAGGGAAGCAGACCAATGAGTGAATAGGTTTTAAAAATGTGGACTATATACACAGTGCAATACTATTTAGCCCTAAGAAAAAAACAAATAGGAAATTCTGTCATTTGTGACAACAGGGATAAACCTAAAGGACATTAGGTTTAGTGAAATAAGCCAGGCACAGAGAAACAAATATGGGATGATCTCATTTACATATGAAATCTAAAAAAATCAAACTCCTAGAAGTAGAGAGTAGAATGATGGTTACTACAGTCTGGAGGAAGAAGAGGTGGTCAGAAAAGAGGGAGACATTGGTCAATGGGTGTTAAGTTACAGTCAGATGGGAGAAATAAGTTCTGGTGTTCTATTGCACAGCTGGGTAACTGTAATTAATAATGATGCATATTTCAAAATAGCTTAAAAAAAGAGGATTTTAAATGTTTTGACCACAGAGAAATGATACATATTTGAGGTGATGAATATGCTAATTACTCTTTAATTTTTCCACAATGTATACATATATTGAAATATGACTTTGTACCCCATGAATATATACAATTTTATTATTTATCATTTAGAAATGATAAACAACAACACAGTTTTATCACTTTCTCACCCCTCACTAGTTGCCGTATGTATTTAAGTGTGCTGTTTATTATCTATCTCCCCCTGCTGGAATGTGAACTCTCCAAGGGCAAGAATCTTTTTTTTTTTTTGAGTTGGAGTCTCACTCCGTTGCCCAGGCTGGAGTGCAGTGGCACACTCACAGCCACCCCAGTATCGACCTGCTGGGCTTTGGCGATCCAAGTAGCTGAAACTACAGGCATGCGCTACCACACCCAGCTAATTTTTTTTTTTTAATTGGAGAGACGAGGTCTCGCCACATTGCTCAGGTTGGTCTCAAACCTGTGGGCTCAGGCAATCCACTGGCCTTGGCCTCCCAAAGTGCTGGGATTACAGGCTGAGCCACCGAGCCCAGTCATAAACGTGTTCTTGTTCACCAACCTAGAAGCTTCCCAAATACAGTCATTTTGGGTTTTTATGGAGACTTCATTAAATAGGCATCATTTATTAAATCACTGGCCACTAGTGACCAACTCAACCTTCAGCCCCTCACCCCACCCTGAAGGTGGGGAGTGGGCTGTTATACACTATCCTCATTCCCACCTCTTCTGGCAACACTTTGAAACCTCCCTGGTTTCTGCCAGGAAAGCACCATGTCCATTCAAGCATTAGCTTTAATCAATAGTTTTAACAGTTTATTTGTCTGATTGTCCTTATGTGACTATAGGCTTCTGAGGCCAGTATTTTGTTTTTATATTTCTACCTTCTATGACTAACAGAGTATGTTCTTGAGCTCAAAAATGGATGAATAAATACCACTTCTCTGAAACTACCCTTACTTAATCCCTAGGCAGCAGACTGGTTCCTTCCTCTGACTTCATTAACACTTGCCATGTATTTCTAGTAGGTGCTTGCTGCTTTGTATGTCTATCTCTTCAATGTAAGCAGAAACCATTCTTTTCTATTCTTAAAGTCTCTGGAAAGCCAGGCTCGGTGGCTCAGCCTGTAATCCCGCGCTTTTGGGAGGCTGAGGTGAGTGGATTGCCTGAGCCCGCGGGTTCGAGACCCGCTTGGGCAGCGAGACCTCATCTCTACAATAAATCAAAAAATCAGCCGGGCGTGGTAGCACATGCCTGTAATTCTGGCTACTCAGAAGGCTGAGGCGGAAGGATCGCCAGAGCCCAGCAGGTCGAGGCTGCGGTGGCCGGGAGCAGCCACTGCACTCAGTCTGGGCGACAGAGTGAGACTCCAACTCAAAAAAAAAAAAAAAAATGAAGTCTCTGGACCTAGCATATAATAGGCCCTTAATAAGATTTACTGAAATAATGAAAAACTTGAAAGCATACCTTTCAAACTTGTGGTTGGTACTATAATTAATACATTGGATACTAGACCTTTGATTTAAAAAGATCTGGATTTTTAAAAAATGATATGAAAATGCTGGAATAATGGGCCAACACTAGATACATGAAATTTAACAGAAAGCTCCAAATATAAGTACAAATTAGGTTTTTATCTGCAAGTTGGAAGAGATCTGAATCAACAGAGTAATGTGCCCAAAAACAAGACAAAGAAATCCTCTACTAGGCGGGCTCGGTGGCTCAGCCTGTAATCCCGCACCTTTGGGAGGCTGAGGTGAGTGGACTGCCTGAGCCC